CTGCTGAGTTTGCATCTTTTGCTGTGAAGTACAGCCAGACTTTTGACCGCTTTGCTTTGGGCATTTTTAATCTGTAGCTGTGATAAGCCTTCCCCTGGTCCAATACTGTGAACAAGGAGTTGCCCCCGAGGTTTTCCAGGATCTCTTGTATTCTCGGGATGGGATGTCTGTCGGGCAGTGTCATTGCATTCAAGAGCCTACAGTCTACGCACATGCGAAGGCCACCATCGTTCTTCCTCACATACCACAGGTGAAGAATATGAAGAACAAGATTTTTGGATCCAGCCCTGATTGAGTAAGTCCTGTGTGTGTGCTTTAACTTCCCGATAAAGGTGTCTGGGGATTGCATATATGTCTTTTGCACAGGCCCATTGTCATTTAGCTTTTAGCTAGTATCTCCAGGTACAGATCTTTAATGCATCCCATGTCTCAGTCATCTTTCGCAAAAACATTGCATTCCTCCCTCAGCATCTGTTTTACCTGCTGCTGTTTGTCACTTGTCACATGGCGCAAATCCACTGGTGGGTCCCAGGGCTCAGTTTGTGTTGTCTGACTGGACTGCACTGTGGGTGTGGAAGCACTACTGTCTGATGTCTTAGAAAGCTCACCCTCCATACATTTTACCTGCGGCATGTAGATGGCATCAGCATTGTGCAGCCATCCCAGTGTAGTGCGACCACAGAGGGTGATATCATGGTCAGTCATATTTTCCACAGTCACTGCAACTTTAGCATTATCTTCTGAGGGGAGCTGAATTAGCCGTTCTCTAACAACTAGGCCGTCTGCTCATGGTGTGTCATGATTCGGCTCCAGCACTGCATGGGACCCACTTAAAACATTCTTATTTAACCAACCACATTGCACTGTCATCATGTTACGCTTCGAAACAAAAATAAAACACTGTTAAATAAGTGTAGTCTTTAGTAAGTATTTCAGTATTTGCTGAACTTTAGTAAGTTTTATAACTACTTTTAGATTGCAACACAAACTCACCTACTCTGAGGTGAATTTGTCCAAGAGGACTTTTGGCTCATGGTGGCTCGTCCTCGAGCCCTGGACCCAGCTCAGGACTGGCACCACAGTAACCCTGACCCACTGAGCAGGAAACCTGACCATTTTTTGTCCTCATAGAGATTTCCCCTTTGCTAAATTCTAAGTATTGAAATGATTGCAAAAAAATCTTCCTCTGTGTCACAACTTCAGAGTCAGTCATGAAAACAAAATGGGGATTTTCTTTTGGACTGCACGTCCATCATAGACTTCACACCCTTACATGGTGCGACGTACCAGCAACCAGCACCGCTTATTTTTAACCTTAGCAATATGAACTTCCTCTATTTGCTTCTGCATTGAGTATCAGCCCACTGTTTAAAACTAATGCTGTAAAAAGATTTTTATTCAAAGAATTTCATTAACAAGAACAGCCACAGCAACTCTGCACATACTTAAGTTCATATTTACCAAAAAAACTCAGATTCTGAATGTTAAGTCAGTTCATGGTCAGTGGAGATGTTTCCTCTTTGTTATTGTGAGAATAAAATAATTCTCCATGTAAAAACAGCACAGATATTAACTGTTCCCTCAGTGCTGTTGAGCAATAAGTTTGTGAGACTTGGTCAGTGTTGACGTTCAGCTTCCTTTTCTGCCACGAGCTGACCTCAGACTCAGTGAGATCGCATCAACAGGAAGTCGAGCTGTTGCAGCTGTTATAGACAAAAAACAGCCTCAATGCAACTTTTTGAAATGGACAAGAATGATCCTCTATCCTGGGTCTTTGTGCTGGATGTCATGTTAGCTGTGAGTAATATTTAAGTCTCATTTGTATGTCCTGTCAAAATGAAACTAAGTTAATTAAATAAGGAATTATCTAATAAAAATATGAACACAAGATTCCAAAGATCTTTAATGAAGGTCGGACAGATTTACAACCTCAGAGTCAGCAGATACTGAAATGCTGTGAAGTCTCAAGAACAATATGCACAAATAACAATGACACTTATGATCATTTAAGAGTTTTAATATTAGAAGAAGACTAAATGAATTTTAGCTGAGGTGGAAGAATCAGCTGGACACATCATCACATTTTAAATTAGTGATGTGAATTCTGGTTTCAGGGATAAATGTAAATGTAAAGGTGCATGAATGAGCAGGAAGCCCTGCAGCAGACTCACAGACGGATGCAGAGGGGAGGAGTGTAGAGGTACTGTGGTGTTTGGAGGAGGGACTCCTTCAGTTACAGAAGTGAGGCGTCACAAGTTCCTGGTTTCCAGTGAAGAAGAAGAGAGGCAGCAGTGAACCATCAGAGCCTCATCATGAAAGTCCGTCACACTCTGATCTGCTTCTTCTTCCTTTGTGAGTACATTCACTTGTTCTTTCTGTCACTCTCCTTCTTCAACATGTTTCTGTTGTTAAACATGATGATCAGAGTCAGCTATGAGTCACTTTCATGGACGCTTCTTCCATTCAAACTGCTTTTATTCATGATTTCATGGATGTGTTTGTGGCCAGTATGGACAGAAGAAACCATCACAGTGAGACATTCATGGACATGTTGCTTCAGGACTTGATAACATGTGAAACCATCGTTTCAAGCACAGCTCATTACAAGTGTTTGTTACTTCCTCAGAATAAACCGGACAGTCAGTAAAATAAAGGGAACAAACTCAGCCTGCTGCCTTCAGAGTTTATCGACTTGGCTGAACTTTAATTTGACTAAACTAAGAAAATCTGCCTGCAAACATTTTGTTCCTGATAACTCAGGTGAAACAGAATAAACTGCCTCACATCCTGCAGCCAAATATAAAACTGTGCGTCATCGCCTAAAACCAAAGTGTGAATAACTCAGTGATGTTAAACTTTTAGTTTCCTCTTGATCACAAACAGTTTAGTGTCAGAGCTCTAACAGGACTGAATGTGGATCTTTGTTCTGATCAATGAGGAGAGAAAAGTGAAACAGAAGCTGATGTTTAAACTCTGAGCTCTCAGTGTTTCACATTCAGACTTTAGTCTCAGTGTGTCTGTGTGTGGATGCTGTGATCAGACTGCAGCTTCTTACAGGAAGTACAAACAGTAACTGTTGATGGTTCATGTTTCCAACAGCTCTGCAAGAGGGAAACCCTGAAGTCAACGACAACAAAAACATTTCATTTGGACTCGTTGGAGGAAATCTTACAGCTGGATTCAGATTTACTGCTGGAACATGGAAAATATTCTGCAGAGGAGAATGTGAAGGAGAAAACATCCTTATTAATACAACAGATGAGAAGCATCAACATCAAAGATACAGCACTGAATAAAAAACAGAAAAATATGCTCCTACTTTGTCTGTGAGCATCACACAGCTGATCATGTCTGATGCTGGACAGTACAGCTGTGCTGTGGCTGAATCTCCATCATCAGTTTCATACAAACAGTTTGAAGTTGTTGTTGCTGAAGGTGAGTTTCAGTCTAAACTGTGCAAATGTTGATTTCTCTGTTTTGTCTCTGAAAGTCTGAAGAAAAGTTTTATAAAACGGAGTTTTTTACTTAAACTTTTTATCAGTTTTCACAGTCAGTGACTCTCTGAACAAACTTCTCTTTACTGAACTGTTTCTTTAACTCTAGTCATGTATATAAACTATGGAAAAGAACATTCGTGCCATAATGTCCATCATGTCAGGATGATGTGAGTGAGTCGTGCTGCACAGAACAGAGCAGACACATTTATTTCATCAGAAGCTGTGGTGGAGGGTTGTGGGCAGGAGACACTAACAGCTCTATATGAGATCGGCTAATATGATATCTGAGGTCTCGTCTAAGTGATCAGCTGATCTGCTTTCTGTGGTTGAGCTGGACGTCATGAGCATGAACTAAACTGTGTTCAGTTTCTGAGTCTGAAAATGGAAATCAAAGGTTTGTGTGTAAATTAGAATTTATCTGTTTGATCCATGTTTGTATTGCACAGGATTCACTGAGGCGTTCTTAACCTCACACTATTCTCATGTTGCTGGATTAAATTTGAGGCTCTGCTCTGTTGGCACAGTGAGTCCTGGTTCATGGTTTCAGTGATGATGTTGGGTTTCTGATTCCTCTGATCACCTGCACAGGAACTGAAGCGTTCAGGGTTAAAGCCTGAGTTTCCTAAACCACAGTCCTGTGTGGACTCACTGAACCTGACATCAACATTAGCATGAAGCTTTTCACCAGCTCGCTAAGTTAACCCCTTCGTTGCCAGTGTGTTCACATGAAAGAGGCGGGAGCAACATCTGACCAATCAGAAACATGGAGACATCAGAGCAGCTGATTTTAAGAAGGAAGATAAAACTATAAAGAGGTTAAACACACACAGTAATACAGACTAAAGTAAACTGTGTTAAAGGCCTGAATGAACGCTGCCATCGGTAAGACTGTGAACGAGCTACTGGATTAATAAAGTTTAGGTTTTTGAAGTGATCAGTGTCTCAGCTCATTAAAACACAGAGAATCTGATGGATCATAATCAGCATTTCATTAAATTCATGTTTAAAAGAAAGGTTTAGTTTTTACTCTTTCAAATGCACCTCTTGTTAGAGTTGTGTGCAAATCTGATGTGAGGTCATCGAACAGCTGCTTGTTTTAGGATCAGATACTTTGATTATGAAACAATAAAACTGCAATAGAAAAAAGAATCAGGGAATAAATTTGTATTTAATAATTAATATTCCTCCAGGCATCAACAGGGAGAAGCAAAGACATTAAACACCACCATCTGCTCTCAGAGGTCTCGGTTCCAGAGGTCTGATTGGACAGTAGGTTGTGGTTTCCTGGTGATCTGTGATCTGGAACATAACTCTGGAGCAGATTAGCTTAGCATATATATTAGCACAGTGATGTAAACGGGTAATAAGTGAACCAGCTTCATATTAAAAAACACGATTAACCCTGAAGTTACGTGGACAAGATTAAATCCTGCTTTGTACAGTAAACACAGTAAAACCTCCAGAGTGACACTAGCAGAGTGTCTGCATGTGTCACTGTTTTATGATGATGTTGTGATGATGGCACGAGGAGGTCGGGCTGAAGCTGAAGAATTCACTTCAAATCAATGTTGAATTCACTGTTCCAGCCACAGACTGGTTGAACTGGGCAGCTCCCAGTGTAACTGTGGGTCAAACTGGAGTTATTGTGATCAGACTGCATCATCTTCAGCACTGATTGTAACTACTGATCGTTTGTCTCTTTAACAGCACTGCTGGATGGAAACGATGATCAGCTGAAACACTTTGATAAAGAAACTGGAAGCTCTCTCACAGTCGGATGTTCCTTTAATCAGGCTGGAGGACAAAAGTTCTTCTGCAGGGGAGAATGTGGAGAGCATGAGGTTCTTCTTCAAACCTATGGTGAAGATGATTTCAAAGACAGATACAGAATTGGATTTAGAGGAACGTCAGAGGATAAATATAAAGGAGGAGGAATTCTGTATGTGACGATCACACAGCTGACTGAGTCTGACTCAGGACCGTACAGATGTTCTCTGAATCCAGCTGCTGGTCAAGGTTCATTCAGAGACTTTGAGATCAACGTCACAGATGGTGAGTTTTCCCTAAATATGTTTTTAATGTTGCTAATTCAGTCATTGATAGCTGCTGCTGTGTCAGATTACCAGACATGTTAGCTTACAGCCATACTGTAGCTAATGATTTGCACTTTTTCTGGAACTAAAATCTAATTTGACAGTTTTTCTCCAGCAGTATCAAAACTTGATGCTATTTTAAAATCTGAATTTCAGAATCTTTCTTTACACTTTTATCCCAGATGTCAGATACTGCAGATCTATGAGACGCTGCTGGTGTCTCACCTTTAAGAATGAGGTGTTCTTTGACTTTTCATTTCCAAACTGGCTGCAGGAGGACTGATGTGTCCTTTTTGTTAAAGTGCTACAACATCAGGAGATGGGAAAGGTCACAACGTTTGAAGACAGCAGTCTGTGTCCACTCTGAGGGACTTTTGTGTTTGTTTCTTGGTTTCATGCACTGGTTTGGACGCATATTAATGGTTGGCTATAGTACAGAAGAATATTAGGGTGGTTAAAATACACCCAGCATGTTGAGCAATGATACCTGCCTACTGTGACGTCAAAGATGTGATGTGACAAACATCCTTACTTGCAGTGAGAGACACACTTTGACACACAGTGATGTGTGACTCTGAGTATGTGAGCGGGCTGCTTTTTCTCTGCTTTTAAATAAGAACCACATCTAAACCAAACTTCACTCTCTGACCTGTTTCAGCAGTCGTCCAATCAGCCTCCCCACCTTCACTCACCACTGAGCAGCCCAAGAAAACATCTGAAGGCACCACTGTGTCCACAGGTTTTTAAAGATCCACATCTACACACAATCACTGTGGAATTTATATCTAAGAATTTCATTAATTTAAAATATTTAATAAAAACTTTCCTCAAATGTTGATGGTTTGGTTTAAAATCCACCGCTGTGGTCTACAGAGATAAACTTAAAGATGTGCTGTTGTCCAAACACTGAGACTGTTTAACACAGTAATACAAAAGCAACTCTCCAACTTACCCTGAGTCTGAATGTAAAGGTTCATACTGGTAAACACTCACCTCACAGGCCTCATATTACTAACATGACAGAGAAAATATTGATTATCTGTTGTATCAGGAGGTGTGAGTGTAAACTAACGTCCGAATCTGCTGCAGATGGTTTGCCGTCTGTGGGTCTGACTGTGGCTGTCATCATCATCATCGTCATCCTTTTATCAGTGTCTGTGCTGATATTCTGCAAGAAAAGATCTGCAAAGAGTGAGGCAACAGGAAACACACACACACATGCACAGACGCGCACACATGAACGAGCACACAGACAGACACACTCACACACACACAGACAAACACTCACACACACACACACAGAGACAAACACTCACACACACGCACACACATGAACGCGCACACAGAGAGAGACACACACACATGCACAGACACACTCACAGAGAGAGACAAGAAGAAGATGAACTTTATTGGTCCCCTTGGGGAAAATCGCTCTCTGCATTTAACCCATTCACTCAGTGAAGCAGTGGGCAGCCATTGGGCGCCCGGGGAGCAGTGTGTAGGGACGGTACCTTGCTCAGGGGTACCTCAGGGTAGCTGTTCAGGGGAATCGAACCCTCGACCTTCCGATCATGGGGCCACCACTCTACCTACTGAGCTATCCCTGCCCAAACACACACAGGCAGTGTGTGTCTAAGATGTCTTGAGTTGTGTGTAACACTCACTGCAGCCGCTGTAACAGGCCGCCATGTTTAACTGCATCACCTGACTTCCTGTTGTTTTCAGGACACACACACCTGTCCTCTCTCCTCACCTGCACTGGTTCAAACTCACTGATGTGTTTTTCAGGTCATCCTGTGGAAACAGAGTACGATGCTGTCACAGAGGTGAGCTTCACGAACTCTGACATCATCAGTTTGACGTTACAGGATGTGAAGTTTTTTCTTCTCCTGCAGACCAACAACGCCGTGTATGAGGAAATCAGAGATGAGGGCGGACAGAAAGGAGCCGCTCCTGTGGAAATCAGTTCAGTTTATGCTTTGGCCAAATACAACAACACGCCTGAAACCACCGATGATTACAGCGTGATCACTGCAGCCACGCCTGAGCACAGCGTAAGGAAAACGCTGGACAGAACGAAGCAAAACTGTAATCTGGGAAAGGTTTTGTGTCTGGGACATTTTTCCTTTGTGTCGTTCATATTGTTGACTTCTACTGTCTGTTGTGATGTGTCACATTTAGCTGCATCAACTCGTGCTGATCTCGCCTCCTGAGCCAAAACCAACTCACAGTTTCCCAGACTGCAGAACCCCTGGCTTTGTCTTCACTAAACTCTCTGTAACTTTGCTCTGTTTCACTGCAGCATCGGTCTTTGCACAGATCATGTTCATGTTGATTCCTGGTTTTATGTGTACGCCAGAAGATTTTGAAAGTTCTTATAAAAGTAAAAGAAAATTGGGCGAGGAAAAAAAAATCGTCTTATTTTTCCAGACACAATAACATCTGCTGTAATATTTACAGCTCTGATGAAGCCTCACAAGTGTTTATTTTAATACTACACACAGTTTGTAATTGCAGAGAAATACTCTTCATTCTGGGCGTGTTGTTTCCAAACAGCAACCTGAGAAAGACCCCTGGGGTTTAACAGGCTAGCTTCAGGAAACAACATGAACATATTAATAAAAAAATATTCCAGTAAAAACAATAAAATCTCTGTTTTTTGTTTTTGTTTTTCAGGCTGAGGACGACTCGAGCAAACTCACCAAATCTGAGCTGAATAGTTCAAAAGCAGACGTGGACTCTCCCAGCAGCACCTCGCCTGAGCCTCAGGGAGACGCAGGCTCTGACCCGAGCGCCTCTCTGGAAAATCCACTGTATTCTACTGCAGACTAGCTTCTGTTCTGCTGATGGCATATTTTCTCCTGCAGGGTTCAAAATGAAGTCGTTCTCTCACAAAATGTGAGATTCTTTTAATTCAACGATGTGACAGTTTGAGGGAAACAGTTGAATACAGGGAGAGTTTTGACTTTCTGACACACGAGCTTTAACCATGGGAAGAAATTCTGCTGCTGGCTGAAGTAACCAAACTGAAAACTTGGTTAAAGTTTCATATTTTACACGTTCATGCTTTACACTCTCATCCCTACATGAGTTTGTTTTTCTTTACACTTAGCCAGAAGTAAACCGTTAAGAGTACAGACTGCACATTTTACTGAGCTAAAGCTAATAACTGTTTATTCATTTTATGAATAAATGCTGATTGTTTTTAAGTGAAGTGGGGAGTGTTATTGGCAGAATGACCTCATTCACATGAGGTCATAATAAGGATTTGTTGTGTGAGCATCTTTGCTTACCAACCATGTTCACTATTACATGTTTCATGCTAATGTTCTTTAAAGCTAATGTATTTATTTATTTTAAATTGCTCTGCAGAGTAGCTGTCAAATAAATGTTGAACTCATGGTATGTTTCTTTTTGCATTTATAAAATCTTCCTATTTTATAAATAGTGTGAGATTGTAAACATCTGTTTCAGGCAGCAGCAAACACAGGAAGTCAGTAAGTTTGCATAAGATCTGTTCTTCATGCTGTTGACTGAAATTACCCTGGGAAACATTTACATACGTGATGATTGATGCCACCACTGTCATGTTTTCAGTCTGATTAGTAGAGAAGGACAGTAGGACAGATAAGGACAGCAGAGCGCTGTATGAGCATCTCAGCAAAGACCTTCATCCTGTGACGCAGACGCAGGCTGTGAAGTCTGTGTTGGTAACAGAAGCTTCACAGGTATTTCAGGGGTTGTTCTGTCAGTTTGCTAATGAAAGGTAACTGTGAGAGGCTTTGGGACGAGAGCAGCTGGAAGCTGGATGAATCTGCTTTGATTCAGCTATTGATCATTTTCATTTCATTTTATTAGTTTCTCGCTGTTTAAATTAATTCATACTCATTAATTTTAGGGCAGTTTGCAACCCCAGTTCCAAGAAAGGTTCAAAGTTGTGTAAAAATTGAACCAAAAATGAATTTAACAATCTGCAAATATTTCATTCACAATAGAGCACAGAAAATATATCAAATGTTTAAACTAAGAACAGGTCATTTCAAGAAAAAAGAGAAAGAACAAAGAATAAAAAAGGAAAATAAACCCAGGCCTGCTTTAGTAAGTTCCTTATTTTGCTTCTGCATTACAGTGTTTAAAACTAATACTGTGTAATGTTTTATTACAGTTTTATTACAGTTTCTAGTTAAATAAATCAAACACTGGTGATTGGTCAGAAAAAGCTCATTCAACAACTCACCGGACTCCAGCAGCTGTTTGCAGAGCCAGCTGTTCTGGAAATGAGGAAAAGAGGAGGAGCAGGTGAGGAAGAGGAGGAGCTGATGCTCACTCTCAGATTTGGTGGATCAGCGGCTCTGCTTCCAAAATGTGCATCGCCCTCTGACACACTGAGACACATAATCACACACTTTCTCACGGAGCTAAAAACAAATTCATTGTTGTGACAAAGTGACTCAGACCGTGTGTGTTTCTACAGGCCGTACACTTAAAGTCATGCATGCTTTGGGTTTGATGTCAGGTATAAACACGCTCTCTGTGCACATGCACGGACATGAGAGTAAGTAACTGTAACCATGGTTACAGGGCGCCGTCCTTTGTCCATCATGATTCCTAATAAACGATTTCAGGTCATTATTCCTATTCTGTGCTTGGAAACAGTTTCCGTCGTGAAAGTGAGGCAACGACGTCCATAATCCAAGCAGAACAAGCTCGTCACACCACGTGCTCTGTCATCCCCAACTTTAACTGAGTGCATTTTCTCAATGCCAGGAGGGGGCGCCGTGGCTCACAAAACCACCCAGAAGTTGACACAATGCATGTTGACATTTGGAATAAAGTACTGTACATAAAAGAGTCATTCCTACTGCCCTTCTTATACAGTACAGACATCTCTGCAGTGGGTCAGAAACACTGTTCCAGTTCTGTCCTGATGATTTTGCTTCAGCTTTGCCGGCCTCGTCGTCTCTACGTGTTCAAGCTTTAAGTAAAACAGCAAACGCAACACTGATGTTTGGCTGTCATCTATTTTCTTTCACTCTCTCTCTATAGTGCATGGTGTGTATTATTACTGGCATTGTTACTTTTTCCATCACACAGGAAAAACATGAAAACTAATCCTGCATTTTAGTGCATTTTTGTGTCATTTCCATTTTGTTCCCACAGTTTGAACATCCTGTAGCAGCATTTGGTGACTTTTTACCTCTTATGCCATGAAATAGTTCATTAATATTTAGTTTTTCTGCAATCTGTTATTTATTAAATATGTAATAATCACCTTAAAACTTTGGTTTTAGGTAGTTTCTCGGCACATGGTGACTGCATTATTTTATTATCATAACAGAAGGAGACGATGAGGCACCAAAAAAGGGGGACGGAGTTAATCCCAGTTTAAACAGAACCATTATGGCCCAGTAGATGCTGAAACTATGAGAGTGGGGATGGATACATGTCAGGTGAACATAATGTTGCACCTGACTCAAATTTGTTTTAACAGGAAGTTGAGCTGTTGCAACTGTTTCAGACAAATGAGGAGTGTAGAGGTGCTGTGGTGTTTGGAGGAGGGACTCCTTCAGTTACAGAAGTGAGGCGTCACAAGTTCCTGGTTTCCAGTGAAGAAGAAGAGAGGCAGCAGTGAACCATCAGAGCCTCATCATGAAAGTCCGTCACACTCTGATCTGCTTCTTCTTCCTTTGTGAGTACATTCACTTGTTCTTTCTGTCACTCTCCTTCTTCAACATGTTTCTGTTGTTAAACATGATGATCAGAGTCAGCTATGAGTCACTTTCATGGACGCTTCTTCCATTCAAACTGCTTTTATTCATGATTTCATGGATGTGTTTGTGGCCAGTATGGACAGAAGAAACCATCACAGTGAGACATTCATGGACATGTTGCTTCAGGACTTGATAACATGTGAAACCATCGTTTCAAACACAGCTCATTACAAGTGTTTGTTACTTCCTCAGAATAAACTGGACAGTCAGTAAAATGTGGATGTGATACAGTACAATGGTGCAAACCTCTTCCTGTTCAGCCTCTTGGAGCAGAAAATAAAGAAAAATTGCAGAAGTTAAAAAGTGTGTGCAAATTCTAGTAGATTAAAGGACAGTAAAATGTTTTTATCTCTGTGCAGTTTGAAGAGTTGAATGAAAGAGCTGTAACAGAACTCAATGTAGATCTGGAAAAGAAATAAATAAAAAGTAAATAGTGAAATAGAAACGTCACCCTGCATCCTCAGCTCTTAATATTTGTGATCATGAAGCTGGGTTAAGCAGAGAGGTGATGATCAGTGAC